ATCCTAAAGGAATATTAAATATTATTTTCTTATTCTAATATAATTATAAGATTAAGTTTTAAAGTTTAATTTTCAAATAAAATTACAAAAATCTCTTTTGAAAAACCTCCTTTTTCAATTTTTGAGAAGAAGTTGGTTGTTTTGAATAGTTGACTTGATCTTGAAATCGATTACTGAATAGAAATATCATCCATTCAACTTAGATTATGAAATCAATATAATAGTAAATTTAATGATTTATTTTTTTAATTACACTTTCTTATTCTAGGTATTTATTATAACATTTTTAAACGAATATTCCACTCTATAAATAGTAGATAAAAAAAATTGAAAAATTTATTGTTCCTTAATTCATAATATAGTGTTTGAAATATTTATTATTCAGAAGAGATCAAAATATCGCCAGAGATATAGAGTATATTATTTATTTGTAACAAAATTTTCTTTCTAATTGGGAAAAGTTATATATACTTTTAAATAGCATATCTATTTCTTATATGCGAATCATTTTCCTATTTAGCATTTTTATAGTAACCAAACAAATAAGAAGATTAATTCTATGATTATAACAATTTTTTAACATAAACATTAATTATTATATAAAGATCGATTTTAATCAATTACACTTGTTTAAAAATTAGATTTTACAATTTCTGTGCATGTATCACAATAATTCATAAGATTCAATGATTTGATTTAGACTTGATAGGCTTACTGATAAGCAAACATAATTTTAAAATATTAATAACTAGATTTATCACAAAAAATGCATTCTTCTAAATTTTTTCACGTTAAACTATTAAAATTAATCATAATTACTTTGTTGCTTGTGTAACCAGATTCTTAAATAGATAAGAGTGAATTAATTAATAATTTATTCAACATGTAAATACATAATCATCATATTCTTAATGGCTAAAATAAATGCATGAAGTTCAATTATTACAATTTCCAAAAAAAATAGAAGACACTGAATTTATATTTGAACATTTACATTATAAAATGAAGTAATCAGAAAGTGCACAAAATTAATCTATAGTTATCTGTCAATGAATATTTGATATTTTATATTCTATTCTTAGTTAAGTAGTTTTATACATAAAGCCTAATCTTAAACATATGAATTTGCAAATTATCATCTCATTCCCTCACCATAAATTAAATTTTCAATAGAGCTAGTTGAGTCATAGGTATGTAAGGAGAGCTTCATAAATTTAATAAATTAGTGACAAGTTGAAAAGGAGAATCAGTACTGAAAGATTGAGAATATATATTATTTAAATGAAGTTTGAATTCTTCTAACAGGAACATAAATATAATTTGATTAAACATCCATTTCAGCGAATTGCTGTTTGGAATGATAATAATAATACTAGAAGTGCATATTAAATAACAAGAAGGGCTATTACAAATTAAACAAGTAGGTAAACAATATTTAAATAAATTTGTAATTCCAAAAAATTTAAACGAATAAACAATATATTAGTTCAGATGTTAAAGAAACATCTTGTCAATAGTTTCAACTTTCTAAAAATTATTCACACTATTTATCAGGTAACTAAATGTAGGAATTAATAATGAATACTAAGATATTATTGATAGAGATTGTGAATCTATAAAGATTATTTATTAATTCAAAGTTCTTTAATATTTTATATTTATTGATTGGAAGGATATGAATTATGTATCTTAGAAATTGAATAACAGTTTGCACATTCCTATGTAGAAATGAATTCAAACACAGATGACAATTTGAGATTCTTTCTATGATTAATCCTTAATATAAATAATTTATCATATGATAAATATTGTTTATCAACCCATTTAAATCTATATATATGAAATATTTTACTGCATTATTGACTATAGAATTCTTAACCATATCTATTAGTAGGAAGAAATACATAATAATTGCATTTATTATTTGGACAGGGTCTAATATCTTCTGTTTGTTGAAAATAATTTTTTAACATAATTTCCATATATTTTTCTTCTATTTCTTTATTCATTATAGATTATTAAAAGTTTTCTAAAGTAATTATTTAATTGCTTTTATGATTTAAATACAAGATTGAATTGACTTATTCTTTTAAATTTATTTACTGTTCAATAGAGCTAATTTATACTTGGTAATATTTATCTATTTATATCTTAAAGCAATAAGATCCTTCGACTATAATCAATTAAAGATGGGAAAATATACTAAAACAAATTCTTCATCGCTAAGAATATATTATCAAATTGAAAGATTATATAATTTTAAAGTGTTATTTCCACTTTTTAATAATCTATTCAATCATAAGAAGATGGCAAGAAATTTAAAAGAGTAGCCCAAGTAGATAAAATTTCATTAGAACAATATTTATTTCATAAATTAAAGTCTAAACACATCTTTTCATGTTGTTGATTCAGACTTATTCATAAATACTATCCAAAAATATTTTATTTTTTATTAGCTTGTATAGTTGATAGTCCAACTAGTGAATTAATCATAATTAAAGGTTAGACTATAAAAAATGAATTGAAGCTAATCAAAATAAAAGGAAAATTCAATATTCCAAAATTAAATAATTATTAGAAATATTTATTATCATCTCTTTAAAAATTGAGATTCGCTCTTGCAATACTATTGACTGAATGTGTTTAGCTTATTCAATTGTTGAAAGTAAGAAATGTTTTGGTCTTATTTAAAGATAACACTTTCGCAATTTCTATTTGAATGTTTTATATTTTAAGGGGAAATCAAGCTATTCTGATTTAATTCTATATCATTAGGAATCTAAGAAATAT